CGCCCTTTTGCCCGGAGGGGGGGGGGCGCCCGCGCGGGGGGGGGGGGGGGGGTGCATCAGCGCTCTCAGGGGGTGCATTTGAACCCCTATGCGTTGCCACTGCTATTATAGATTTGACAAACTTCAACCTTTGGGGGTTGAAATTCTCTATTCTGGGACCTTGTCCTAGTCTGACTTTTGAATGGTTCTGCTGTTTTGGAGAACAAGTGAAACAAAAACATATACAATACTTACAAACTTTTGATTAAGAATCCCCAGTGTACGTACCCTTAGGACTAGGGCCTTGAAATATGGTGGGAAGCAGAGGCATAACCAACTCCTTCAGTGGCTGGGAGGGGTGGCAAGGGGTATGCCAACCAGTGGGCGGTTGGTGAGGGGAAGGGAAGTGGAGAGCAGCCTTACATGTTGCTACTCTCAGAAGGTTGAAGGTGGCAGCAGGTGCTGCTGCTACTGCTGCTATATCATCCTTGGCTCTGGCAGCAACAGTCCTGTGGCCAGGCTCCATGAGAGCCAGCTTCTGTACACTGCTTGCATTCACTCATCCCAACCCTCCCAAGTATGTTACTGGGTGCAGAGCTATGCCTACAGTGGCAAAAACTCCTTTGGGGGTGGAGGTAGTGAGTAACACCATTTTATTCACCCCCTGTCCCCCATATTCATTGCTGTGTGCAGCACTGCCCTGCCTGGCTGTTATGGTTGGACACAAGCAGTAATAGGGCTGTGCCTGCTGTGACAAAGATTCCCAGGGTTGGAGGATGACTCCAGTACCCTCTCAATAATCAGTGCTTGGGGCTGGTGCCCTGCTTTCCCCCTCCCCCATAGTTATACCATGGGTAGGAAGGCCACCATGGGATGTGCCTCTTTTCCTCCCTATGGAAATTCATCCCAATAAGTGCCTGAAAAATCTGTACATGTTTTGTGGACTGGTAAGAAACCAGCAGTTGAATTCCCAAATATTCCACATGCCCTCATCGCTCCTGTCTGTTAACAGCTTGAGGCCAGGCAGAAACTAATTTGGTAAACTGCCATAGCTCTACAGGGGATTACCTGGGCTTTCCTGGAAAATGCATCTTTCAGTTGTGCTTTGGCACTGGGCTCAGGAAGGGAAGAGTAGGCTGTGTGTCTCTCCAGTGCCTGCAGTACCTTTCTGCTATTGCCCATGCAGTATGGAGGTGAAGGATGAGGCATTATAAGTGGAAACCTATCACAGACTGGAAGAGACTGTATGTTTGTTTTCATACCTGTGATAGTTGGGGGTGGTTTTAACTCTGGTTTTCATTTTTTTTTTTTTTTTTGGTTTTTTTTATTCCATTCTATTTTCCTTCATAGAGGGCCCAAAGCCAAACACTGTAGTGCCTGTAATAAGTGCATTGCAGACTTCGATCACCACTGTAAGTGGCTCAATAACTGCGTGGGAGGCAAAAATTACTGGTAAGCTAATACAGACTAGCTCTGAAAGTAGTCATCCATGAATAATCAATGGGATCTAAGTTTCCCAATGAGCAAGTTGCTTTAACATTCTTCCTTCTTACCTCCTTTGATATTTTACTACTTCAGTTTTAACTGAATTAGCAGTTTGTTTCTAATAGGTCTGCTGTAAAATATAATATCTCACCGATATTATATAATATATATAAATATTGGTGTGTGTATATATATTATAATAAATATAACACAATACATATTAATATTACATAATATAATATTGGTAATATAATATTATGTAAATATAATATAACATTATGTAACCAAATGTACCATCTGTTACACAAATGTACATAATATAATATTATGTTTTACAGCAGAGGAACTGTGGGATGTTCATGTTCTATCATTGACCTGGTTTCAGAGTTAATTTTGTCTTGAAAAATGTTCTAGGCAAGTGTTGATTTTTGAGTGAGATAAAGATGTCCCTTGTTGGTTGCCTGGCATGTATTGCCTGCATTAAAAATATACCATCATGATTAAAACCTTTATTTTATTTTTTATTCAAATGTATAGTTTCAGTCTAATAAAGAACGTCAAGTATTATATTACATCAAATGGATACCGAATAGAAAATTCATAATGCTATACTTTGCGCACTTGATTTTATCATTGGAAAGGAAGGTAGAACGCTTGCAAGCCATATTTCTTTTATGTGGTTTGTTCTATCAAAGCTCCTGACTTTTGAAGGCTTCCTGAAAACAAAAACAGCTAAGAATTTTCCATGTTCTGCTGAAAAGTAGCCAATGAACTGGTGGTGCAGAAAGCTGTTTAAAACACAAAACCACAATTCTGCGTGTGTGTACCTGAGAGCATAAGGAATTTTAATCAACAGGATTTCATAACATTTTGATTTGAAATCTGTTATAAGCAAATATTGTTTGTCAGTGGTAGTTGTATTTTTATGCAACAAAATGTTTATCTGTTCTCTGAGTATTTTTCTTGTGTGTGTAGGTTTTTCTTCAATGCTGTTGTTTCTGCCGTTCTTGGTGTCTTCTTCCTGGTAGTGGTGATCCTGTATGTCTTCATCCAGTACTTTGTGAATCCAGAAGAACTCCGCACAGCTTCTCAGCTTGAAGGTATTTCCCCACCCACTTAATATTATATATGCTCGTTACACAGTTGGGTTAGAAAATTACTATTTTTGGTTAGAAAATTGTTGTGTGATGTCAGTACAGTATTGAGAGAGTGTAATTTTCTGTTAAAGGTGCTGTCTCTTAGATAAGAAATCAAAACCATATCTTTTCCCTGCTCTACTCTCTTGTGGCTTTCTAGGTGAAAATTAGTTTCAGTGCCCATTTCCAAGAGCACAGAATATAATTGCTGTGCATAGACCACCCTTTTTATGACCTAGCCCTGTAATAAGCACAGGTTCTAATGACACTGACTGCATACAAAGGATTTTGGTGTCCATTAGTGGTTGCTATATCTGATTTCCATAGTCAAGCTCCTGAAGCTTTGGGTCAATGGTCTAGAGCAGTGATTCCCAAACTTTTCCTCAGCATGACCCAATTTATGGCCCCATTTTCTCAGTATGGCCCCATTTCCTTAGCATGGCCCCTCACTTCCAACCCACAGCCCCCCAACTCCGTGACCCTATCTGCTGATGTTGTGACCCCACTTGGGGTCACAACCCACAGTTTGGAAACCGCTGGTCTAGAGTAAACACTTGTAAAAGCATATGAGTTCCATTCTCGAAAATGACTTATGTTTTCTCAGCAAATAATAGGATTTAGGCTCCTAAGTCGTCACTTACTTGCTTTTGAAAATTTTAACCCTGATTTGTGGTGCTCCCAAACCTCATTTAAAATGTAAGAAAGATGCTGAGTACTTTGCTTGCTTCTTAATTTGTATTTTCATCTCTGAAAAGATGAAGTGATTAATTGAGTCCCCTTTATTTTGCCCCAAAAGGAGCCAGTGGAAACACAACATGGCTGGCCTTTCTTCCTGCTGCTCCAGTGGAGACCACAGCAGCTGGAATCCTGGTAATCGCGGTGATCACTGTACTCTTGGGAATTGCATCACTCCTGCTGCTGGGACACTTGTTGGGATTTCATCTGTACCTTTGTATGTATTAATTGTCTCAAGGCAGGCAGGCAGTGACTTTTGAGAAACACTTTCTCAATCTATTGCAATCAAAGGTTTAAAAGCTAGAGGTTAAAAATATTCATCCTTTCTTTTTCTTGTTTTTGAAATTTGCTTTTTAAAACAACATGACACCTGTAACTTCACTGTTTATGAATGAGACTTGCCTATTTTAGGCTCATCCTCTTTTTTGTTTTGCTCTGTGGCTTTTGTCCTTTTCTTCCTCCTCCCCTGCACCCTGCTTTTGATCATCACCTCCTCCTACTTCCACAAATGAATCTTCTTAGTAATGGCATTTTTCCATGTGACCAATTGATCTTACTGGTTTAATGTTTTCTTTTGCTGAAACATAGAATGAGCTCTTCATTCCTGTTCCAACTTTCATCATACTGGGTCAAAGGTTTGCAATGGCTTTAAGAACCCTTTAAAGGCCTTGCTTTCAGCTGGCAGAGGATTCTTCCAGTGCAGACACTGAAAGGGGGCTGCAAGGGTGTCTCCCAGGAATCCCTGTGCAAGCTCTGACAGGGGGTGGCACACTTGAGACAGAACACAACATGGGGGGTTGCTGTCACTTAAGCCCCCAAACTATCTAAATCAGGCTAGGGCATCTCCAGCACCTGGAATAGCTTTGGTTTGGGCAGGTAGGAAGGTAGCTTAATGTCACCTCTACCCTCTCTTCTAAATCTGGGCTTGAGGTTTTTCTGCTGCATCTCTGGGGTGTAACACAGAATCACAGGGGTGGAAGGGACCACACAGGTTTTCCGGTCTAATCCCTTGTTCGGATGCAGAATTTCCTGTTCCTAAACCAGCCTTTCCAGCCTCACCTTGAAAAGCTCCGGTGAAGGAGATTCCCCAACTTCCCTAGGCAGTTTGTTCCACTCTTCTGTGGTTCTTATAGTTACAAAATTTCCTTGTTGGTCTGAAATCAGATAGAAGGCAGGGGAGGGTGGCCTCTTAGGAAGAAACTAGTCGAGAGTTGTGAACTTTCATAGGTGACAGCCTGTTTTGTCAGATGTTAATTCAGTTCATAACATCTGCATATAAAAATATGATACCTCTCTGAACCTGACCTGCTTTCTACATGACTTCTACAGTGACACTTCCTTCCCCTCTTTCATACTGTATTTGACCAAATGACAGGTGCCAGGGATGGTTCACCATTGATCCAGCTGGCTTCTAAATATCCTTAAAAAATTAAAAAGCCTAGACTGTGGCTCAGGAGTGGAATTTATTTATAATCCTGCAGGACTTGACCTTCTTAAATATTACTGACAATATTTTAGTACAGTCATACAAGAATCCACCAAATCACTTTTTGGCTTTGGCAAGGCACAATACAATTAGGAATTGGTCCTACCCGTGGGAAAGGATGCTTTCATACCTTTGAAAACAGCGTTTGGACTCTGTATGTTGGTTGGAGGATGTAATTGACTATCAGTGATGTTTATGCCACCTCACAGAGTCTTTGGCTAAATATCCACAAAAAGGTATACTGAATCTTTCTAGAAACACATTAGGATACTAAAAGTTACAAAAATATGTATTTTTAGAACCTCTGAATTCAAACTAAACTTTGGAACTTGGGAAACTCATAGAAATGATTCCACAATCACCCTTTGAAATAATTTACTATAAATGCCAGTATAGCACTATGCTATACATTTCCCTGTCAAATCCCTTCTCTCCTTTTGTAGGGAAAGTCATCAGGTATCAAATAATTACATGTCCGTTGTTTTTATGGAAACATACACGTAGCATAACCAGATACTGGTAACAGGAGTGTCAAAGTGTATGGCCCACAGGCTGGATCCAGCCCCAGAGCCATTTTCTCTGACCCATCAGGTTATTGGTAGACAACCAGAAGTGGGGGGTGGTGTGGTCAAGGAGAGTGGCCCACCACAGAAGCTGGGACCCTTAGGCCCCAACAGCCATAGTGATCAGTAACAGGTAAGCAAGGGCTTGATACAACCCTGGTTGCCCTCCAGCTGCTTCACCTTTTGCCACTGTTACAGCCCAACCTCCTTGGCCCCCCCACTCTGCCACTGGTCCATGATGCGGCTGCTGCCACTGTGCCCTGCGTCGGAGCCTAGAACTGCTGTTGTGGCACAGGGCACTCAGTGCTGGCAGCAGCTCTGGCTCCAGCAGCTCTGTGGTCTGGATCTGGCCTGGGATGCAAGGTAAGTTTGACAACCCTGTGCTATAAGATTTAATGTCAGAAGTGTCTGACACATTTTAAAATGAAATCTGAGACCACATGCATTTTCCCTGGTTTCACATGACATTATCAACTTCAGATCCCAACCACAAAGAAAGATTTGCTACAGATTTGAGTAGGTGGTTTAAAACCAACGTGCTTTTTTAATCATGCCTTAAATCAACAACCAAAAAATAAATAAACCCCAACCCAACACAGTCCAAAACAAAACCAAAAACATGAAACTCTTGATTTTTAAATGAGTTTTTGTTTTTTGTATTTGTCACTGTAGAGTTCTGTTTTTTTCAGCTTATCTATTAATATGTTTTAATCTTTCTTCATCATGGCTTGTGAAGTTAAACCAGCTGGCTAAATTTTTTAAGCTTGCATCAAAATTATGGTAAATTTGCCTTTTGGTAGGTTCCATTGTTGAACCTGAATACCTTTCTAATAGGCCTGTGCGAAGCGACTAGTATTCGCTTTGCATTCAGCCGATTTCAGGGCACAGTAATTTGATTCAGTGATTCAAATCACTGTCCCGAATTGATTCATCCTAATCTGATTCAGAGATTCGGCTGCAGCTGAATTGGCCAAATCTTCAAATCGGCCCCATCCCCCACCCACTCTCAATGGCTGTTTGCCTGCTCTCCTAGCTCCCAGGTCTTTAAAAAAAAAAAAAAAAAAGCCCCAACTCATTGACTGCTGCCAGGTGGGGGGGTGATCCTCGCTGCCCCCAGAAGCCACAAGGACACTGCAGCAGCTTTTTTATAAGGGTTGGGAGCTGGGGCTGGGCAGGGCAGCTGTGGGGGGGGGACGCTGGGACAGGGGGGGGGGGTCAGGAGGCGCTCAGGTGGGCTGGAGGATCAGACAGGGGCCTGGCAGGGGTCCCCCTCCCCTGCCCCCTCCTCCAGCCCCACTGCCCCCAATTTACCAACAAGGAGTGCAGGTCCAGCTCCCTGCTGCAGCCAGTGGGGACTGCCCAAATCGCCAAAGCTCTCCGAATCTTTTCCGAATCGATTTGGAGAGCTTCGAATCAATTCGGACCTTTTAATTGGTCTCCTGGTTTGATTTGGATTTGGAGATCCAGCTACCAAATCAGGCCAAATCTCCTCTGAATCGAATCAGCATCTGAAGCTTTGCACAGCTCTACTTTCTAGTGGTATCTTGTTTTTGTTCTAAATGCCCTGTGGCTTAAAATGTACACCTGCATGGACTGACACCAAAGACTTTGCACACAGACACTTCCAAAGTGAAACAGTCCCATATGAACAGCTCTGTTTGCCTAATGCCTAGCCAAAGCTTGGCTGATGCTTTTTATAAAGTGTTTGTTTCCCTGTCTTGTGGGGACTTACTTAAGAGGGTTTTGTTGTCTCTTGGTCTTTCCTAACTTCTGTTTTCTCAATGTGGCATCAGCACAGACTCTTCAAAACTTGTCTGTTGCACTGAGCGTAACATCTGGTTGCCACGGCATCACATGTTAAGCACACATCTCTACCGTTATGTAATTATTGGGATGTTGATTTACAGCTTTTTAATGTCAGGACCCATATGTTGTTGAACGATGAGGCTGAAGTTCAGCACAACAGAGCTTCAATAATGAAATATAATTCTGCCAAGTGCTGCCACGATTAGATGCTCTTGATGACTGATAACAAAACAAAATGCTCTTAAATATAGTTTCTTGACTGTACTAAATGTAAATGGTAGGTTCTTTTATTTAAGTAGGTTAGATAAACAACTTTTTAAAACAGATTCTCTTCTGTGTCCTATGAGTTGCACAGCTACACAGGACAAATTGAAATTCTCTTTTTTGCTCTATACAGTGGGTAAGAAGCTGAGTACTTTTGATTATATGGCACGGTACCGGCGCACATCGAGTACGAGGGACCAGAGAGTTGATTTGGAGGCTACAAAAAATCCATCTGACAGAATGGACCCCCTGCAGGTAGGGCAATGCCCCCTTTCTGTATCCCAAAATTTCTCCCTTTTGGTGCCTGTGCACTCTGCAAAGCTGTTCTTGTTGGAAATAGGTGGGGTGCATCTTACCTTATACATAGCCCAGGCTTCTATCATCAAGCAAGAAGGGATTTTTGATGGAATACAGTTGAGCCATGAAGGACTTTTACCAAGTCAGCTAAAATGGTAATAAATAAATAGATACCTCTGTCAGCTTATTCTTATGGTAGGAGATGCATGCTGTATTTAGGTGCTCATCTTATGGAAAAATGGACTTGCTTTAACAAATAAAAGCATTTTGGTTCCAGCACAGATATTAGCTCAAAAAAAGAACTGATAAACAAGACCTTTGTTGTCTTCACTCCTTCTACATGAGTGAGAGTACTGGATACGACGCTTTCCAGTTGTGTGGCTAAGCAATTCCATTAGCAAGAGGTCCATGTGTGTATCGTGACAGTGGAGAATTGCAATCTGCAACGTCCTGGCATATGCAAAGATAATTAACAGTGAAGTCATGCACTTCTTGCTCAGCAGAGCTGAATTCTTTGTGTCCATGTTAAAAATTGATACAGATTTTGTTTGTGGAGGGCTCTAGTGTACTAAAACACCAAGATGAAGCAAGCAATGCGTCAAGCATTCTGAAAGATGTGAGAACCCTTGCCCTCAGCCCCCAAATGCAAGCTGAGGCGAAGCTAGAAAGTTGAAAGCACTAAATGTGATTTTTGTTTCCAGCCCTCATGACTTGTCACTCAGTAAATATAACACTAACTTCATCAAAGGGCAAAACCTTTCAGAAGATTAGTAAGATCTTCTTACTAATTGGTTCTTCTAATACAGATTGGTAAGTAATGCTGTACAGGACAGAACACCATAATATAGTGAAACAAGTGGGATATCTAAATCTATGGAATGTATAGGAGCATCTTCTTCTGTTGATCTTAAATTTGCATGTACAGTTATCCATCAAAATGGCTTCTTTCTGTAAAAGTGATATTTAAATACCAAGAACTATTATGTGGAAAGCGCATCTTGACTTTCAGTTGGAATACATATTGCTTTGACTTGGATCCTACGGACTTTTTAAAACCTCAGAGCCAACAAACTTGAGACCTGCATAGTTTACTACTAAAAAAAAAAAAAAGAAAAAGCCACACATTCTACCTGTTCCTCTTCTTATCATGCCATGTTTTCTTCCTGACAATGTGGAGTCTCACTTTTTTTAGTATAGGGACTGCTTATGGTTGTTAGCATGTTTTGGGACACTTTGATAAATCAGAGCAAGGATTGTTTTAACAAAGCGGTATTTGCTTGTCATTGTTCAAAATTTTTGCAGTAATGAGCATAGTGTTTTTACTATATTTTAAAAAGCTTTTCCCTAGCTCACATGCCCTACACAATTCTAATATATAAAATACACTTTTTTTTTTTTTTTTAGGATATGTATTTAGCAAGGCAAAAAAAGGAGTGTGAAGTTCCAGTTACATCTAGGACCAGGTAAGTTATATTTTATATTGAACAAAGCTGCATTTAAAGATTCTGTTAATTCTTTGTAATTCCAGTTAACTTTTTTTTATCTGAAGGTTTAAAAATAGGTGTTTGAGTCCTATCAAGGTATAGTGTCTTTGGGCAGAGATTATGTATTGAGTAATACCAAAACCATTGCCGCTGCGTTAATGACATCCTTAAAAGATATAAATCCATATAGCAGAGATGTTGGTCGCATCTCCATAGTGAAGGATGCCTAGAGATCTGCTGACAAATGAAGACTTAAAATCCTCCCCTAAAGACCAAATTTCTTCACTAAGCTGAACCTGTTAATTTCAGAGGGCGTGTGTAGATGAAATGGGGGTTTACTTCACCCTAAATTGAAGTGGTGGGTTTTTAAAAAGACCGCTTCAATTTTAAGGCGAAATAAACCCCTGTATTGTGTAGACCACGTCTTACCTGCCTCTCCAGCAACAGAGAGGGGAGGGCGAGTTGCCAGTGGGTAGAGCGGTCCCTGGGCTGTGGGGAGGAGGGAGCAGGTGGGGGCTAGTACTTCCCTCCAAGGCAACAGTGGGGCCCGCGGCACCCACCCACAGGCACCTGGCTCGGGTGGTTCTGGGGGGCACCACAACCGTGGAGGAAAGGACTGGGTCCCCATGCAGCTCATGCAGACAGGCAGGCTCCAGGGGGGCAGGGGGGAAAGATCAGGGCTCACCACTTTACTTCGGTGGAGCCTGCTGTCCCAGGCTGCTGCAAGGCTGCCTGCACTGCCCCAAGCCTCATGGAGCCCAGTGCTTTGGTCCACAGCTGTAGAGCAGCAAACTAAAACTCCTTGGAGGTATTTTAGTTTGCTGTGCCCCAAAGTCATTTAAGGCACGTTACACCGCCAAATGTGCTACGGTGGCTGGAATTAATGCTTAATACACTGCTGATGCATGCCACAGAGACAGCAACTTGGGATGGGCGCCTTCCATGGTCCAGATTTCTCTATCTTGCTAGCAGCTAGGAACCTTGTCCTTTTCTCCTCTTTTCTTGCAGAGCCCAATTAGCTGGCTGAAACCCTAGGATGTCAAAGGATGTGGATTAGCCACTGCTTTAAGATTGAACACTCAAAGAATTAACTTCTTGTTTTTGGTAAAGGATACAAGATTAATACTGATGAAGTTGCAGTAGATTCCCAATAGATTTTCAGTTACAGTAGATTTTCAGTGGAGAAACTCTTGTGCCTCTGTCATGTTTTGGAATGGGAAATTGAATTAGCTGGAAGTCAGTCTTACCTATCATGATTGCTGTTCCATAAATTAATTTGTCACACTATGTATTATTAGTAAATAGCTACTGAACAGATAAGAAACAGTTGGCTTGAATAGATTATGTTCTAAAAGTATCACAATCTGATTGATTGACTTTTTGTTCCAGGACCTGAGACTTTGATTCTGTTCCCAACTCTATTAGCTCCTGTGTGATCACTAAGCAATTTACTTACCCACTCTGTACTTAAATATTTGCCTTTTACAGATGACAGAAATTGATGTTTGTCAGCATTGTGTGAAGTGCATTGAGATCTATAGATGATAAATGTTTAGTAGTTGGCAGTTGGTTTGGATGAGACTGCTCTCTCTGGAAACCTGACACAGTTTCTCTAATGCCTTCACAATAGTGAATACTAATATAACTACCAATTCTGCTGTGTTTTCTACATGTTGAACAGTGTTATTGCCTGTTTAGGAAGAACAAGGACCTTGTATGGTTTTTTGTGTTGTTTTTGGTTTTTTTGTTTGTTATTTTTAAATGGGGTGGAGCAAGGAAGCAATATGGAAAATTATATAGAATAACGTGTTTTTACTTCTTGAATTTCAAAAGGCCCTTAGGTATTGCCATATTTACTTGAATCCACGGGGAGGATTTTTTCCCCATTCAACATGGGAAGAAAAATCTTATATTTGAGTACAAGTACGGGGAATGGGAAGCAACTGCTGTGGCTCTGACTCTGACCCTGGGCTCAGGGCCCTGGAGACACAGAGCACGTGCTGGCTGCAGTACCCCACTTCCCCCATGCAACAGCAATGGCAGCTATAGTTCTCGCTCTGAGCTGGAGCTCCTCTGCCTGCTCTCTCCCCTCCCCTTCCCATCTATCCCCTGCTACTGCTTGCTGCATTGTTGGGGTGGGGGGAGAGGGAAGGATGAATTGAAGATGATCCTCCAAAAACTAGATTCTATATGTGGCAAATTATAACAAATTAATGCATTTTCTATATCTACAAACTAATGTCTTAGATTTGGGGAAATGCAATATATTACAATGGAAATACTAGAGCAATATATAACTGCAGTAGGCTTGATTTTAATTGCTTATGAAATGGCTGATGCTTAAGACTTCACATTGTGGTAGTGTTGGCATGATGGTTTAGTCATGAAATTATGCAAAAGCAAAGTACTGTTGCCCAGGTTTGAGGAAAGATCTGAAGCTCAAAGTACATCTGCTTCTCTCTCAGACCTGCCTAAAGAAGAGTACTCTGTACTCAAAAGTTTGTCTAAAATCTCTCTCAACGGTGCAGCTGGTCTGATAAAAGATAACACCCATTACATGTATCCTTGCTTCTGGTGTTTAAGATTAAAGAAACCCTGCAACATCATTCTTGCAAGATGAAATCATTCCAGCATTTTTGAAGAATTAATGTTTGCTCTGCTCATAAAAACATTTAAACATTAATTGGCTATTAACAATGTGAATCATATCACAGCCTGATGTTTATAAGTGTTTGTACTGACATGCTCTGTAATTAGTTCTACGTCAGCAATGAATTGCTATTTGAAAGTTTTGTTTTTAAGGCGTTATCTTTGTCTTCGGGCTTGAAAAAGATTTATGAAAATTCAGGCAAAGTTTTTTGGGTGAATCTGATGTCTTTTATTAGACCAACTTAAATAGTTGGGAAAAAAATTAAGCAAGCTTTCAGGTTTAAAAATTCATGAAAATTCAAGGCTTTTTTAATTGGCTGTCTTTGAGCTGGTATCTGACTCTAAGCTATAGTTGAGCAACAGAGTGATACCGGCGGGCTATGTGGTCCCTGAGCTGCGGGGAGCCCTAGTCCTTCCCTCTGCAGTGGTGGGCAAGCTGCGAGTGTGCCAGGTGCTGCCTCATCTTGCCTGATCCAACTTTTCCCTGAGCCAGCCCAGGGAGCAGTGCCCAGCAGGCTACCAGTGAGTGAGCTTGGGTGTAGCAACGTGGGTTTCCTCAGGCCAGCCATCACCAGCCCTGGGCACGCCGCCCGCTTATCTTTCCGGGCACACCTTGTTGGAAGTTAATAAGTTGGTAAATAAAGCGGGAGGCTGCCCATTTTTCTTCACACCCCGATATTAGGGGGTGCCCACGGCTCCGTACCACCCCTATATCACGGCCCAGGCCTCGCAGATGGCATCCAGATGTTACCAGCACACCAGCCCCACACTGGGCTCCAGAATCTTCCTGGCGGGAACCTCCTTTGAACCCTCCACTCAGGTGGCCTACGCCACCCTCATCTGGGCTGCCGAGCTTCTCATAGCTGGCTCCCTCTCGGGTGTGGTCCCCCACTCGGGACCTTCGGCCATACACAGGCCCTGCCCTCACCTCCAAGGCCAGGCAGGGTCCTGGGCCCATGATCCAGGGTGCCCCTCACGGTGGGCCCCTGGCCCTTCTGAGCATCTCGGCCCTGGCCCCAGCTTGGACCAGTCGAGGGGCACTCTAACGCTGGCCTCACTAACCCCACAGTCTCTCCCTAGGTCCCCCTTCCTGGATGTGAGGAGCTGGGGTACCTCACACCATGACTGGTGCTCCAGGGTCTCACAGGGGACTCTCACTCTCCCCCTGGGGCAGCAAGTCATGGTGCTACTACAGATGTTATTTCTACCCACCCAAAGGTGAGGGCTGGGGTTAAGGCACCCCTACTCGCCTTTCAATGGGGTGGTAACTGGGCTGGCATTTCCTGGGGGCTCCCACACCACTGAGAGCCCCACCAGGTCACCCACTTCTGGCAGGGTGCAGTTTTAGGTCATGCGCAGGACCAGGAGCCTCCAAAACCATCCCCTACAGCTCCTCCCTTACCTCCAGTTGATACCAGCAGTCCGGCTGCCAGGAAATGTTGTTGCCTGGCCCCCGGCAGCAAAACTGCCCTGTTTATATGGGCAGCCCAGGGTTCAAAATGGCTGCCCCCATCAGGCACCTGGCAGCTACCAGACCCAGGCCCTTAAAGTGGCAGGCATCAACAGTGCCCTGCCACATTGGGGAACAGTTGGATCAGGCCACTTGCTGCCTTTGAGCTGGGGCAGTATCTGGCTGGCTAGCAGCCTGCCCAGGCAGGCCCAGGGGACGTCACCACTGTGGAGGGGATGGCTAGGCCCCCTTGCAGCTCAGGAGCTGCTCAGCCTGCTGGCAGCTCGCCCCTCTGCCAAAAAAAAAAAAAAAAAAAAAGAGGATCGGGCCTCTTGCTGTTTCTGCCTTTAGCAGGCAGGGGGTGAGCTGACAGCTGCATCGTTGCAATTTGCAACGTTGCAGAGTAAACTACATCTGGATGTAGTTTAGTCTGCAACGTTGCAAATCTCATGCAATCTCATTGAAAACTCCCCAAAGTCTTGCATGTGTACACTGTGATGCCATTAAGCCACACAGTGACATTTTCATCACATGTAAGTGTTAATAGCGTCATGTGTACAAGTGCCCATAGAGACCAGCTGTTTCAGGTTAGACCTAGATCTGGCCTTGTTTGTTTTATTGGCTTGCAATAGGGATGTAATGTTTGTATAAGAGAGTTAGGAAACAGTGAACGTTTAAAAAGTACAGACAATCTTTTCATGTTGTGAACAAGAAGTGAAAAGTCACTAAAATATTTTAATTGTGAGAGCCTGAACTAACCAGGTAAAGTACCATATTTTATCACATATTATATGCCCCAGTATAATACACACCTTGTTTTTGAAGGGCAGAATGAAGAGAAGTAGATCAATTTCTGCCACCCAGCCACCCACCTGAATTATGGCTACATAAAGCAGGGATAGGGCATAATCTTCAGTTGACTTGCACTCCCTTTCCTGCTTAAGTAAAGCTGAAACCATAGCTGCTTCTGAAGACTGGTCTCCATTGTTGAATCTATGATTTTGAAAAGATCTAAAGAGTCTCCAGGGCTGTGAAATAGCAGGGGAGAGACCAGGAGAAGCTAAAAGACATCACAATTTTCCTGAAAATGTTTAGCTTGAGTAGTGGAACCTCAAGGCCATTAAAATGGAGACACAAATGCTAACACCTGTGGAGTGAAGAACAATGAGCCATTAAGTCAGTAGACTCCGTTAGCTACCTGAATAGTAATACTACAGCAGCTGAACTGTGGAGCAAGAATCAAAGCAGGATGCATCTATCCCAGGCAGAAAATCAGCTTCTCCACTTAATATACACATACCTCAATTTTGGAGGGAAAGGTGCCTTTTATTTATCTAAGTTGGTTGGCACTCGCAACTTGCACAGTTATATTCAGCATATCTGAATATCAAAGCACATTCAGCACCAAAGGCATGAATTAAAGTAACTAAAGAAGCCCAATTTTGAAATTGTTAGCTTGTGTTCTGAGTAGCATTAGAAATTCCTTTTCTTGGTATATGTAGAAATTACCTTCTTTGTTAGCCATCTGTTGTGCAGTTAGCTAGTGTGGTGCTGTTTGCTAGAGAGATGAAAAACCTAGATGGGGCACCAGATTGCATCCTGCCATATTGCCAGTGCAGTGGGATCCTGATCCAAGGCTCCCCCTGACCCGGCAGGTAGGAAGCTCCTGTGGCTGGGAGTCCCACCAGCTAATGTGGGCTCCCAGTCACGGGGGCACGTGGTGCACTCCTGCAGCTGGAAGCCTAGATTGGCTGAAAGGGCTCACAGCTGCAGGGGTTCACTAGAGTCCTATACCCCGGCTGTGCCCCAAAGGCCGTGAGCCCCAATCTGCTGCTGCTTTCATCTGAGGGGGCATACTGGGTTCAAGGGTTCTGGTGCATCCCTGTGGCTAAGAACAGCAGCTGATCGAAACTCCAAGTCTCATAGGCACTTTGTAGCCCTTAACTCTGGGCTGCCGAGGCTGGGAGCAGCAATCGGTTGATTGGCATTCTCAGCTTGAAGAACCCATGGGAGTCCAGGAGCCCCGATCACCCTGGTCACACATTCAATTAGTAGCTTGATTAAAAAAAACAGCCATAATGTTGTTACACATTTTGACTTATTTCTTGTTTTGTCATGCCATTAATTTCATTAATGTGGGCTAGGTAACTAGTTAAGATATGATTAACTGGTTAATTATGCTTCAAGTGTAATGTGTGCCAGAGGCCTAATGGTGACTTCGAGGTAAGTGAAACTTTTGTGTAAAAGTCACTTTTTTTCATAAGGCAGTTGTTCTGATTAGTTTTTTCTTTCATTTGTCATGTAACTCTGGAACTCCAGTAAAATATCCCTGTATGCATGGGTGACTTATTTCTCAACAGAGAACCTTTTGGCCAAGAAGTACTGCTCCAAAGACTTGTGTGTAAAGAATAATCCAATTTGCAGTCCTGCACAAAAAGCTGCCTCAAAATCCAGGCTGAACTGGGCAAAATCAGGCAGAGTAAAAATCTATTCCTAACTGTCTGTTTGCTTTAGTGGAGATTATATGCATATAGATACATATATAATTATTTTTTTAAATTCTTTTTTCTGTTGCTTTTTAAGGCATCAGGAAGCTGGACAACTCTCTATTAAACCCCCAAGTGTCATATGCACTGAAACTTCAGATGTTGCTTCCTTTACCAGTTTGTCTCTGAGTCCACAGGTAATGTTGGTTCATTTTTTTTTAAAGCAGAAATGCTCTGTCTTTATTATGACAGCGTATTGAAGCAAATATAGTGTTCTTGGATAGATATATCTTGGATAGGTAGTAGCAGAGGTACAATGTCATGATTCTTCAACACATTGTTGAAACTATTAATATAGCATGTGATTCATTGTCCCTCCCATGTTCTTTGTGACATCTTTAGAGCTGAAGACTTTTTAGTTAAAAGACCAGAAGAAGTTGTTAAAATTATTTAGTCTCCTTAAAAATTTATAAATGTCATCAGTACATTATCTTTTTTTTAATGTTTTTATTTTGAGAAGTATATTGGAAGAATTAACACTAAGGGGCAATTCATGTAATAATACAACAAGAAATATCTTAAGTGGAGAATAATTAATTACTCATAAAATAATTAATTAGCTAGCAGTCAATCTTACCAAGTAAGTGATGGATTATACAGGAAGTAAACTAAGTCATTGGTGATGCATGGGGTGCATGCGGGTGCACGTGCCCCCCCTGAGATTGGCTGCCGCCGACACTGTCGGCAGAGACTGTGGGCAGTTACCACTTGCTAGCCCCCACCCTCACCAGCAGCATCTGCGGGCAGTCACCAATCACTGCTGGCCACTGCTGATGCTGCTGTCAGCATCTGCGAGTGGTTGCTAATCTCCAGTCGGCACTCGCTGGCTCCCCCCTTGCTGCCTCCTGCAAGCAGTTTTCATGCCCCTCCAGCCTCAGGAGGCACAGGACATTCATGAACTAAATAAATAATTTGATTATTAGTGTCCTTTTCATGTTGCTTTTTGTTAAACTTCAAATTAATATGTGAAATTGTCTCTGAACATACTTTTATGCATCATTGTAATGTTTTAGGCAAAGTCTCTAATCTTGAATTTTAACATCTGATTGATTCTTTAGCTAAATGTGAACCAAATGACAACTGAATTGTCTGGGAACCATGGTCTATGCATGTAAATGCATGTAGGCATATATGTGTGGTCTATGGACATAATGAGCTTTCCTCATACTCTGAGACTGGTACAGTAGCAGGAATTGGAGTACTGTGCTGCAGTCACAGGCCAATTGTCCTCTCTAGAAAATCAGAAGGGAAAAAAAAATAAAATGACTTCTCCAGAGCACAGGAGGTAGAGCTAGGAGTATTTTGGTTTAGTAAGTGGGTATCCCTAGGTGCGTGTTGCTGTGACAAAGTATTTACATCTGTCCAAGAAGTGCACCAGAGGCAGCAAATAAGCATTATCTGTCATATAAGGTCTGTTTAAAATATGCAACAGACAGGATTTTTAAACACGTTTAATTAAAATAGAGAGGTGCAAGATGTACTTGCTTGTATCTTAGGTTCTCTTAGACTGTGGACAGACTTGTGTTTGTCACACTGCAAGAGCCACAGCACTTTGAAGCACTATAAAAATGTAGTTGTGCCAGGCACAAACAGACATATAGAGTGTACTAGCTGGAGCACTACAAAGTTGTAAAGGCATTCAGCAGTGTCCTGTCCAGCCAGGGGATGATGTGGGGTTGCTCAGTCTTGCAGCTATACTCCTCTCCCTCTGGGGCTGTGATCGGGGACTGTTCATCCTGTTCTCCTTCCCTCCCCTTCCTTTCCCTCCTAGGTGTTATAAAACCAAATGTAGCTTTCATTTTTGTGTTTGTATGAGCTATTAGTGGTAGGTATAAATGTATTATTGTATACTTATCACGTGACTTAAAGCAAGCTGTGAATTGATTGCTAAATCAAGGGCCAGAAGTGTTCATTTTCAGACTTTGGCTACTCAGAAAAACCAAGACCTACAGGGCAAAAATTAACCTCTAGAGTATACGCCTAGAAATGGTATGAATATCGATCAGCCAGGAAAGTGGCAAGGCTCTATTTTGCGAGAAGTTAGAGGCATTCACTTCAAACAGTGGCTGGTTACATTTCTAAGGAAAAAACCCTTAACAGGAAAACCTAAACACAGAAGGAAATCTCATGTAGAGTTTTTAATATTTCCATCTTCTTGAATAGAATGAAACAATAGGGGAGTTTAGAAGTTTATCTTTGGAAGGAGAAGAGAGATGTCTCTTTTTCAAGGATATATAATGAAAATGTAATTATATATAATATCCTTGAATACAATATTGAGTCAGGACAGATTCCTGACTGGACACATGGCAGCCTCTCTAGGGGAAGGGAGTCATAATACACATGATCTCTGAGAATTGAATAGAAAAATAAAGTATTTATGTGATCCCTTTGGAGAGGCAATGGTGCCTCGGAATCCCAGGACTTAGAAAAGTCTTCTGGTCCCTCAGCTAGAGAAAGCTGGGGATAACCTGATAATTGATGGCTCGAAAATGGTATTAGAGGTTTGGTTTTGGGAACTGGCTTGTAGATAAAGTAGATATGCATTAGAATAATGACCCAGGGCAACAGGAAGGGTTAATTGATTTCTAAAAGCCTGTTTGTGATGGTCTCTTCAAGGCCCGCTGTGTCTAACACAGGCAAGCAGATGAACAGGCTAGGAAATTGAAGGCATGTTCCACACTGTTCCATAATATGAGATAAGGTGACACCAGGTCACCATGCCCAAGTGCAGAGCCCTTGGTATTTCTGGTTTTGGTAGATGGACTAAATTAGGAGGAGAAACAGAAAAAGCCCAAATCAGGATGTGTGCATGTGATGGGTTTGTGAAACAAAGCAACATATTGATAGACAGAACTGGACAGTGTGACGACCACAGGGAAACCAATCAGTGATGCCCAAGGATGAAGTCATCCCAGAGGGAAAAAAATACAAAAGTAGGGATTTCAGAGCAACAGAGGGTCCCTGAGAGGGGGACCTGAGGCCACCATGGGCAAAAAGCACACCATCAGCCTATCTCATCCACCCCACTTAAGGGGTGGGGTTGACCTTGGCCTCCAATCTCCAGGCTACTGACATATGACCTTCAAGAGAAAACCTTAGAGTGAAGCTGTACCTTGACTCTGTGAACTGTGGGACTGGTAGATATAGAATAGTTTGCATTATTCTCATCTGCTGTCACTGTGTATCAATAAAATTTGCCTATTATCGAAAGGAGAGGTTGTGGCCAGTCTGAGGGTTTGGGTCCACCTGGAACAAGGTATCTGGGTTATAAAGCCAGTGCCAACAGTAATCTGGCAGGACTGTTGGCTGAGGAAAACATTGAAGGAAAAATGCTAGATGTTGGTGCTATACATTGGTGATGTGTAAGGGTTGCACGCAGGTGTATGTGCACCCTCAGAGATTGGCCGCCGCTGCTGGCAGTGCCTGTGGGCAGTCGCCACCCCACCCCCTTGCCACTGACACCACTGCAGCTGCCTGCAGGAGCTCCCTGCTTGTTGCCACAACGCCCCCACCACCACTGCCTGTGGGTGGTTGCTGTGCCTTCCCAGCCTCGGGAGGCACATGATGTTCATGGTGCTATATAGAGAAACAGTGACATTTTCTTTTATTTATTTGTACCTCTTTGCATTTTGTGTTCCACATCTAATGGTTACTTTTTCCTCATATGACCTATCTCTCTTGTATAATAAACTTTATGGATGTTGTGAATACCTTGCTGATTGTTAGTAGCAAGAGTGAATTTTAGAGCAATTGACAATGACCGATACTTTGCCTCTGTGATGAGGATCTATAAAGTTTGCAAACCAATGGCATATATTCTATAAACTGGAGGGCTTCCTCCTTCCTACTGGAGCTGCAGGGTCTGTCTGGTCAGGAGCTGGAGAGATTTTCTGGGGTGAGGCGTTACTAAAGGAAAAATCTAGTCTGTTCCCTGCAGGTGCCCAGCAGAATGGTGAGGGGAGGTCTGGGGCTTTGGGAGTCATCCCAACATCGCCTATGGCTTGTCACAGGTAGGAAGAATGGAATGCTGTGGGATGCTGGAGGACTGATAGTACCTGTAGAATGTCTCTATCCGTTTCATCAGGTATTTGTATATAGCCTATGGACATGGGGATATTAGCAGTGATTCAGTGGCAGCTAGCAGTGTGTTGGGGCGGGGGGGAGAGAAGGGAAGGAGGGTGGCAGGGTTGAGTTGGGGCAGAGGCAGCAGTGGCCAGATCTGAAGTGGCAACCCACCTTTGGATCTAGCTGTGTTAACATAGCCTGCTACTCCTAACAAGCTGTTAATCCCTGCTATAGAGAACTGTTTGTTATCTTTCAGTCATTTCACTTTTATACAATTAGTAGAGTTTGGAAAGACCAAATGTGTTTGGCACAGCTAACAGAAAAATAAGAAATAATTAATATAATATATAGAGGCTTATTTGTCAGAGGACATGCTGGGTCTCTAAGCTTTACCCAACAGGAAATGCATGATAGCCCCAGGAAATGACAAAACATCTATTTTATGGGGGTATGAGACTGACTGTCAGGCACCTTGAGCAGATATTCCCTGAATCAGTTAAAAATCATGCCAATTTAGCTTATAACAGCCCTAGAAGAGCCCAAAAATTTCAGTTGCAAGCAGGCCATGTGAGTCTTTTGTTCACAAAACATTATACCCTAGCTTTTCTGAGCATGAGTAGTGAGGTGGAAAACACCAGAACAATCTTCTGACCCCTTGTTTTGCTTTTCTTTTTAGCCAACAGTATCATGGATAACACAATTTTTGCTAAAGAGTGCAAAAAAGAAACACTTGGGAAATTTTATGGCTCCAAATTAAAGGGCTCCAAATATAGGTGCCTTGGTATCTCCATGGTGTCTGCAAACTGTTCCAATATTGAAAGGAGATACTGATATTCCATTACTAGTATTTATTACGGGTGTGTGAAGTGGACCATATTTGATTCAGATTCAGCCTGATTTGGGGGACAGTAATTCGATTAATTGATTCAGATTGATGTCCTGGTTAGATTCTGCCAAATCTGAAGATTCAATGCTGATTCAATTTGGCCATAGACATGGCTTTAAATGTCTCTTCGACATACCTCAAGGTGCCAGGCATGGCTCATGAGCACTGAGATGGTGGGGTGCATGGAGCATCCCACAGGAGCGCAGGCCCCCCCCCC